CGGAGATGCTCGGTAATCACCGGGTGCCGGTGGGTAATTACGGGACGGGACCTGGTGATTGACAGCTGAGGCTGTGAATGCCGGCGCTATTAGGGCGCGCGCCCCTACCCAGAAATGCAAAATTATGCAAATATACAAGCGATTTTGCGCACCCCTGCCGCCCAGTATATCTGCTATAGGGCGGCAGGGAAGCAGTTAACTTATTAAAATAATTTTAAAGGGTAAGTTTATCTTTTCATGAAAAATGAAATGGTAAATATGGCCCCCCTCTGGACCCTGCTGCACACTGCCCATGCTGCTGATGCAGTGGTCTGTACACCCTACACTGTAATACGCAGCTCCTTTTTGAGTAGCCATCATAATATTCACAATGGTAAGTCCAGCCACATAACCATGCTGACCAACAAGAAGTGCATCTGAGACTTCCCCATCTGGTAAGGTGTCCCAGAAGAAAAAAAACACTTCTCATTAGTCAGTGTGGCCACGTGGTTGCACTGACCAATGTGCACGTGCCATTACAAGCATTATGATGGCTACTCGCTCCCAGGGAATGTATTGTGGTGTATGGGCCACTTTATCAGCAGCACAGGACATCTGCTATATACAGTGGGTCCCAGTAAGTTGCAAGGATATATTTGGAGTTGGTTCACTTTTTTATTTTTATTTTAAAGGTGAGCTTACCCCTCAAAACCTCAACATTATTCTACTTTAATACATTGATCATAATAAAGTAAACCATTTGTTACCCAGCATTTGCAGTTTCTAACCTTCAGTGCTACTGGCACCTGTTCTCTCTGTTCAGCTTTTCCAAACTTTCGTTCATCACTGGAAAGCATTAACAGTAGACAATGCATTCTGGAGCTAGTCTGTTAGCTTGGAGGAGGGAGGAACAGGGAAGTGTGTTTCTATTGATGCACACAGTGTAGAAGACAAAACTCTAGTCCCTACATGCAACGATGGCTCCATAGGATGCTGCAAGAATAAGGAGCCACCCTGAAAACAGGAAACCTGGGGCAGCAGTCATGGCACCAGCCTAATGGACTATGGGCAAGGATTAAAAGATAAAGAAGTTGCATATTCAATAAGTGGTTCATGTGCTTGTAAAGGCTAAAGGGTTTTTGTTTTACCTTAATGCATTCTCTACATTGAGGTGAAAAATCTTTTAGGTGCAGCTCCCCCCAAAATACTTACCTGAGCCTGATCTTGATCCGGTGCTGTGCCTGAACTCATTGAAAACAGCAGGAGCCATTGGCAATCAAATCCAGTGACAGAGTGGGGGGCGGGGCCAAGCTGCACTGTGTGTGTCAATAGATGCATACAGTGCAGCTTGGGATTGAGTATGCAAGAGCAGTGGTGTCCCTAGGTGGGTGCGCGCCGCACCGGTTTACACTTATTGCATGGGGTGATACCAAAATTAAAAAAGAGCAGAAATTATACTTGGGCCGGTAGGCCGGACCCTCTCCATGAGCTTTTGCAAGGGAGTGGCACCAAATTCTGTATTGATCATTGCTCCCCAATCCGCAGATCCGATCCATCTTGCTGGGATCGTTGGCTTGCAATCTATATGGTGTTAATTGATCTTGCAACACTGGTCTGGGGGCTGCGAAGAGGACGCAGGGAGGGGAAGAGCCAGCCAGGCTGTGTGTGCACGATAGGGACCGCCCACCTCTGGAGGGGTGACACCATGTGTTACCGCATCGGGTGACACCAAACCTAGGGATGCCCCTGTGCAAGAGTACCCCTCTAGCAAGCGGCTTGCTAGGGGGTACTCAGAAGGCAGGAGGAGCCAGGAGCTCCAGCAGGGGACCCCAGACGAGGAGGATCGCTGCTGCTCTGCATAAGCATTGCATGGAGCAGGTAAGTATAACATGTTTATTACTAAAAGATTAAAAATGGACCTTTACAATCACTTTAAATCAGCTGCTGAATGTGATAAAAAAATAAGGTTTAAAATGTATAATTGTTTTTATACTGTATTATATAATTTGATCATATACATTAATATACTTTTTCCTATTGGATCATCTCTCCCTCTTATATACATAATATCTTCTCATCACCTCCTATGATGACTGTACTGCTACTTGCTGTATCTGAACATACTTTTTTATGTTGGCCAATATCACTATATTTTTTTCCCAATAGGCTTATTTAACATCAACCTTTCTCCTGAGAATGCAGTAAGCTAACACTGAGGACAGAGCTGGAAGATTCTATTTACAGACATTCCTGGGACAGTTTTCTCACCCTGCGGGTCTCCCAGCTTTTGCAAGAAGGTTGAGTGGGGAGCAGATGGTGACCCACATACTGGTGTCTTATTGTATTAAGTGTTTTGTGCAGGAAGGACCCTACAGCATTGAAATAGTTAACCCTATATATTGTCCATTCATCTTCTCTCTCCTTCCCTTCATTATCTCATCATTTTGTCCCTTATCCTCTTTAAATGATAAATATCCCTCTGTCATGTCATTAATCCTTAATTTTTTATACCATCCCCCTCGTTTCGCATAATTCTCACATATGTTCCTGTTTTCTTTACCTTTCCTAATCCCCGTCCTATCATTTTAGTCACCATGCCTCCATTTACACTTTCAGGACTAGGAATATTTTGCTCTTTCGATGTGATCACAGCTACGTTATAATTTTTTTTTTCAAGGTATGAAGTGATAATGTTCATTGTACTGATGTGTCAAAGTATCTACTGAAAAAGTGGAACAAAGCTGGAAGTTGGAAAGAAAACACGCCAAGGCAATAATTCCAGTTACTTCATTCTTAAAGGAATCCTATGCCTAGAGAAAAATATGTAGGCTGCAATTGCTGACCTCCTTCTAAACATGCTAGTTGTCTGGCAGCTTCCGGGTTTATTTATTTTTACTGAATTTGTACAGGGGTAGGAAATGCCACATCTGTAGATAGCTAGGCATTGTGCCTTATTTACTTTAACCACTTTAGCTCCAGAAGCTTTTACCTTCTTCGTGAACAGGGCAATTTTTTTTTACTTTAACTAGCAATTGTACTGTCATGCAACACTGTACGCAAATTAATTTTCTATAATTTTTTCACACATATAGAGTTTCTTTTGATTGTATTTGATCACCATCTGGTTATTTATTTTATCATCATATAAGTGAAAAAAAAGACCAAAAATTAAAAAAAAAAAATATTTTTTTATTTTCTGTTATTAAACATATCCAATAAAATTTTTAAAAAATCACATTTCTTCATAAATTTAGACCAAAATGTATTCTGCTGTATGTCTTTGGTAAAAAAAAATCCCAATAAGTTTATATTAATTGGTTTATGTAAAAGTTACAGCATCTACAAATTCTGATTTATATATATATATATATATATATATATATATATATATATATATATATATATATATAAACAGTCGATAGAAAAAATCTACGCACCCCTGTTAAAATGTCAGGTTCCTGTGATGTAAAAAAATTAGACAAAGATAAATCATTTCAGAACTTTCTATACCTTTAATATGACCTATAAACTGTACTACTCAATTGAAAAACAAACTGAAATCTTTTAGTAAACATAAAAAACTAAAATAATGTGGTTGCATAAGTGTGCACACCCTCTTATAACTGGGGATGTAGCTGTATTCAGAATTAAGCAATTACATTCACAATCATGTTAAATAGGATTCAGTACACACCTGCCATTATTTAAAGTGCCTCTGATTAACCCCAAATACAGTTCAGCTGTTTTAGTAGGTCTTTCCTGACATTTTCTTAGTCGCATCCTACAGCAAAAGCCATGGTCCGCAGAGAGCTTCCAAGCATCAGAGGAATCTCATTGTTAAAAGGTATCAGGAGAAGGGTACTTAAGAATTTCCAAGGCATTAGATATACCATGGAACACTGTGAAGACAGTCATAATCAAGTGAAGAAAATATGGCTCTACAGTGACATTACCAAGAACTGGACGTCCCTCCAAAATTGATGAAAAGATGAGAAGAAAACTGGCATGGAAGACTGCCAAGAGACATGCAGAAACATTAAAGGAGCTGCAGGAATATCTGGCAAGTACTGGCTGTGTGGTACATGTGACAATAATCTCCCAAATTCTTCATATGTCTGGCCTATGGGGTAGAGTAACAATATGGAAGCCATTTCTTACGCATAAAAACATCCAAGGCTGGCTAAATTTATCAAAAACACATCTAAAGTATCCAAAAAGCATGTGGGAAAATGTGTTATGGTCTGAGGAAACCAAGGTTGAACTTTTTGGCCATAATTCCAAAAGGTATATTTGGTGATGTGCAGTGTTGTTCTTGTGCCAAAGGAACACCATACCCACAGTGAATCATGGCGGGGGCAGCATCATGCTTTGGGGCTGTTTTCCTTCAGCTGGAACTGGGGCCTTAGTCAAGGTAGAGGGAATTATGAACAGTTCCAAATACCAATCAATATTGGCACAAAACCTTCAGGCTTCTGCTAGAAAGCTGAACATGAAGAGGAGCTTCATCTTTCAGCATGACAACAACCCAAAGCATACATCCAAATCAACAAAGGAATGGCTTCACCAGAAGAAGATGAAAGTTTTGGAATGGCCCAGCCAGAGCCCAGACCTGAATCCGATCGTAAATCTGTTGGGTGATCTGAAGAGTGCTGTGCACAGGAGATGCCCTCACAATCTGACAGATTTGGAGTGTTTTTGCAAGGAAGAGTGGGCAAATATTGCCAAGTCACGATGTGCCATGCTGATAGACTCAAACCCAAAAAGACTGAGTGCTGGAATAAAACCAAAAGGTGCTTCAACAAAGGATTAGTTTAAGGGTGTGCACACTTATGCAAGAATATTATTTTAGTTTTTTATTTTTACTTTCCTCCACCTAAAAGATTTCAGTTTGTTGTTCAACTGAGTTGTACAGTTTATAGGTTACATTAAAAGTGGAAAAGTTCTGAAATTATTTATCTTTATCTTATTTTTTTACATCACAGAAACCTGACATACATTTTAACAGGGATGTGTAGACTTTTTATATCATATATATATATATATATATATATATATATATATACATACATTTTCAAATATACATATATATATATATTTTGAAAATTGATCAATCATGATGTACTGACAGCAAGTCTCATTTCTTGAGGCCCGAAAATGCTAGGACAGTATACACTCTCCCCAAATGACCTCTTTTTGGAAAGTAGACAATCTGAGGTATTTAGTAAGAGTCATGGTGAGTTTTTTGAAGTTGTAATTTTGTATTTCAAGTTATGAAGAGATTAAACAAACTTTTTTATTTTTTTTCATTATTTTATTTTGTTACATACAGTACTGTTATCAGTGCAGCATCATCATATGAGTGGTGTGGCAGTGATCAGGGACACTAACTGGTGACATTATGTTAAAAAAAAAAAAAAAAAGGTAAACAATTTTTTATAAAATTTTTAAAATATTTTTTAACATTTAAAAAAAAGTATTTACTATATTTTTACATAGTTTCATCATCTAACCACATGGTACAGGGTGCTGTGATTGGCTCAGGTACCAAGTGATAGCTGTGGGACAATCACAGTTCAGTAGTATCGGAAGCAGAGCTGTTATGAATGGAATTCATTCATAACAGCTTTGTTGGCCCTGGACCTGTCAAGGTGGTCCGATACCGTGACACAGTAGCCGTGGCAGGGGGCGCCACCCTTAGTCTTAGAAGGCACAAGTGGCAGGTCAGCAAGTATCTGACAAATCACTGACTCAGAGCAAGCATGCAGACATTGAAGGTCACCAAGACTTTCTGCTGATGTTCCAGTCAGTTCTGATTTCTCGTACACTATTTCCTGAGAATTACAGCTAACACAGTTTTCAAGATTTCATTTATATCTGCCCTTGTTTGATGGCCATGCCAAATTCTAAACGTTCAATTGAATGGATGAAACAGTGATGTAAAGTTTATTCCTGTGACCCTACTGTATATACCATATATAAAATATACAACTGTTTGTAACAGACAACGAAAGTTCTACCTCTGGATCAAACTCTACCCCGCGCATTAAAATAAGTGTGATTTTTCCTGAACATTAGCCACATACATAGATAGAATTTTGCTCATTCAGACGACAAGAAATTTTGTGTCCTTTGCCTTTTATTTTCTTTATCACTATGGTCAAAAACGCTCATCAAATTGTCCCCATTAAGGGTTAGAAAATAGAACAAATGTCTAAAAAAAGAGCTGCTTTGGAACAAAATTCTAATCATGTACTGTATGTAGAAATATATCAAGGTGATGGCAGAAAAAAAAGGCCACTTGGTTGATTGAGTCTGCCCCCTTTTTTTTCGTTTTTATTTCCATTAACTTTTTTGTCTGAGTATAGATCTACAGTATGTTTGTCCCAAGCATGTTTGAAACCATGTCTGACATATATCTAACTTAAGGGGTTGTTAAGAGCAGACGCAGATGAATGCATTTTTACTCTCAGTACAAATGCATATGGAAGAAAATACTAACAACTTATAAAGCCATCCACAACTCTGCCCCAAGCTACATCACCAACCTGGTCTCAAAAGATCAACCAAACCGCTCTCTTCGATCCTCCCAAGACCTTCTGCTCTCTAGTTTCCCATGTTACCTCATCCCATGCTCGCCTCCAGGACTTCTCCAAAGCTTTTCCCATCCTATGGAACTCTCTACCCCAATCTGTCCTGCTGTCTCCTAATCTATCCACCATTAGACGATCCCTGAAAACCTTTCCCTTTAAAGAAGTCTATCCTGCTTCTACCTAGTAAACCACCATTTATTTCCTCCATAAGATCATCCCCCCCACAGCTATTACCTTTTGCATCACTCAACCCTTCCTCCTAGATTGTAAGCTCTAATGAGCAGGGCCCTCTGTTTCCTCTTGTACCAAATTGTATTTGTAACTGTAATGTCTGCCTTCATTTTGTAAAGCGCTGCGCAAACTGTTGGCGCTATATAAATCCTGTATAATAATAATATAATAATAAAAAAATGAACGTCTTTCAATGAGCATAGTTTACACCAGTGCGATGCTTTCATGTGTGTTTAAAAAAATACAGCATGCTACATTCTTTTGCATGTAAGCGTACCAAAACGCACCAAAACACACCTGAAAGCACCGCAAACACAAACACATGGAAACGCAGTTCAGCAGAAAAAAAAAAAATCAAATAATACCTAACAATCAGACTGACAAAGGTTGACAAAAAAGCATTGCAAACATACCACAAATGCAAGTAAATGCACATGTGGAATTGTACACTGAAAGCAGGGATTGTGGTGTGAACGAGCCCTAAAGCCTATGTTTACCAAGACTAAAAAACAAAAAATACAAATGTAGCCAGGTGCTGGTTACTGCAAGATGAATGGAAGACATAATCAAACAGAATCATAGACTAGCTTATTTCCTTCCTTGTGCTTGGGACACAGCTTGTTACATTTCTTTTTATGCCTATACAATAGGAGAGCTGTTCTTCCTGGACAGAGCGGAGGATCTTGAGATCTGTAGTTCTGCAGCCAACTCTCACTGTATTTTAGAGCCCCTTCGGAAATCAAAAATTCCAGAAAACTGATCCAGCAGAGGACTATGGGAGAGCTTATATATTTCACTGCTTCTGGCTGGCTCTCTCTCTCGGCCTGGGGACATTAAAGAGGACAGTTGGAAGTTGCCATTCTCATAGTAGCCAACAGTCCTGAAAATGCCCGGGATAATCACGAATTTCTGACAGCTGTCATGTACAGTCCTTGTCCCGGCTGAATCCCAAAAATTTGGATCTGTCATGGACAGCTGAGCTTCTGGCTTTTGTGATTATGCAGAATGGCCTCCCTCTACCTGCTCAGGTTTGCCAATGATTTGATGTCAGGAAGTCATGTGATGCCTGCCTCTTTTCGTGATTGGTCAGTATTCTTTTGCCTCCATAGTGTGATGCTCTGACACTTCGTGCGGGGAGGACTGACAACCGTGTACAGGTAGTTGGCAGACACAATGCAGCTGGGTAAACATGTCCTGTTTAATGGGGGTTCTGAATGGATGGGTCAGATCATAAACTGATTAGCAGAGATAGGCAGAGAGCAGCTGGAAGCTGATAAGATTCTGCCTATGAGCCTGGGTTCACACTTCTGCGGTGCGGCATATTACATGTGATTCGCACAGTAACCTCATCGCATTCCTGTCCAAATCACATGCAAATTCTGTGCGGTGCGATTTGAGCCATACATGTTGATTATGATGTGGTGCCAGTGTGAACTCAAAATTATTGGTACACCCCTCCAAATCATTGGGTTCAGGTGTTCCAATCACCTCTATGGCCACAGGTGTATAAAATCAATCACCTAGTCATGCACACTGCTTCTATAAACATTTGTGAAAGAATGGGTCACTCTCAGGAGCTCAGTGAATTTAAGCTTGGTACCATGATAGGTTGCCACCTGTGCAATAAGTCCATCCGGGAAATTTCCTTTCTACTAAATATTCCACGGTCAACTGTTAGTGGTATTATAGCAAAGTGGAAGCATTGGGAACAACAGCAACTCAGCCACGAAGTGGTAGGTCACGTAAAATGACAGAGCGGGGTCAGTGCATGCTGAAATGCACAGTGTGCAGAAGTCGCCAACTGTCTGCAGAGTCAATAGCTAAAGACCTCCAAACTTCATGTTGCCTTCAGATTAGTACAACAAAAGTTCATAGAGAGCTTCATGGAATGGATTTCCATGGCCGAGCAGCTGCATCCAATCCTTACATCACCAAGGGCAATGCAAAGTGTCCGATGAAGTGGTGTAAAGCACACGGCCACTGGACTCTAGAGCAGTGGAGACGTGTTCTCTGGAGTGACTAATCATGCTTCTCTCTCTGGCAATCCAATGGATGTGTCTGGGTTTGGCAGTTGACAGGAGAATGGTACTTGCCTAACTGCATTGTGCCAAGTGTAAAGTTTGGTGGAGGGGGATTATGGTGTGGGGTTGTTTTTCAGGGATTGGGCTTGGCCCATTAGTTCCAGTGAAGGGAACTCTTAAGGTGTCAGCATACCAAGACATTTTGGACAATTTCATGCTCCCAACTTTGTGAGAACAGTTTGGGGGATGGCCCCTTTCTGTTCCAATATGACTGCGAACCAGTGCACAAAGCAAGGTCCATAAAGACATGGATGAGTGAGTTTGAGTTTGAGGTGGGAAAACTGGACTGGCCTACACAGAGCCCTGACCTAAACCCTATAGAACACCTTTGGGATGAATTAGAGCAGAAACTATGAGCCAGGCCTTCTCGTCCGACATCCATGTCTGACCTCACAAATGTGCTTCTGGAAGATTGGTCAAACATTCCCTTAGACACACTCCTAAACCTTGTGGACAGTCTTCCTAAAAGAGTTGAAGCTGTTATAGCTGCAAAGGGTGGGCCAACTCAATATTGAATCCTACGAACTAAGACTGGGATGCCATTAAATTTCACGTGCATGTAAAGGCAGGCGTCCCAATACTTTTGGCAATATAGTGCATCTCTCATGCTGTCTCAGAGTCACCAGTGCATGCTGGAAGTTGTAGTCCCACAGACAAATCTACATGGTTGTTCATGTTAAGGAATGCAGTTTACTGTATATGGCTGCTAAGGGGGGGAGGGTGATGTGATGTCTATATGGCTGCTGAGGATGGCACTCCGGCAGACAAGTGCAAGTAGAAGGGTACAGGCAACTGATTTAGAATTTTCCACAGTATAATACCTTCTAACTTACATTTGCATAGAACTTTTTGTCACCAACGAAACCTTCAACCTATCAATTGCCACAACAGGTGTCACAGACAGGCCAATGTCAGATGATGTTTTCTACATATTTTATGCCAAATGTATTTGCAGTGTATGGCCTCATTCATTCATTCACACAGTCTGTGCATGACTGTCCATGACCTTCTCCCTGAACCACCCCCCCTCACGCGCCCCCCTGGGGTGCACACTGTGATTGCTGTGTCTTTCGAGCACAGCTGATCACATGACTAAGGAACGGGCCATACACAGCCACTTTTACCATGTTCCCAGTTATATCCAATCACAGCTGATCACCAGGTAAATAGGAAATGCCGGTTATCGGCAGTCCTCTCTCACGTTGGCAGGGAGGAGAGGAGAGCCGGTAAGCGGCATTTCGCAAGGGGACATCTACACCGATCATCAGGACATTGATCATCAGTGTTCTGGTGATCAGTGCAGCCAATAGTGCCCATCTGTGCTGGCAATCAGTGCCCATCAGTTGAATCAGTGCCGCCTATCAGTACCCATTAGTACCGCCTAACAGTGCCCTTTCAGTGCCACCTAACAGTGCCCATCAGTGCTGCCTAGCAGTGGCTATCAGTGCAGCCTTATCAGTGCCCATCAGTGACTCCTCATCAGTGCAGCCTATCAGTGCCCATCAGTGAAGGAGAAAAATTACTTATTTACAAAACTTTATAACAGAAACCTAATTTTTTTTAAAAAAAAAATTTTGGTCTTTTTTAGTTTGTTTAGCAAAAAATAAAAATCCCAGTGCTGATCAAATACCACCAAAAGAAAGCTCTATTTGTTTTAAAATTTTTTTATAAAAATGTAGTTTGGGTACAGTGTTACATGACCACACAATTGTCATTTAAAGTATGAGAGTGCTGAAAGCTGAAAATTGGTCTGAACAGGAAGGGGGTAAAAGTGCCCGGTAGGCAAGTGGTGAAGCATTAATATTTACTTTGTGTTAGCATTCCTTAGTCTTTCAAATTGTGTGCATTGCTGTAAATAGTTTCCAATCCCCTATGTTTTTATCTGAGCGGTCATTGAGGCATTCAGTACAGCTGTGGCTATTTCATTATTGTGTCCATTGCCCTTTTATTCTGTGCTGGGTATTATTGGTGAACGTTATTGGTCTAACCATGTCTGAACCTGAAGTGTTGGAAGGGTTGAAGAGTTTACAGGGACAAGGCAGCACCAGATGACAAGCATCATCCAGTGGCTCCTACTGGGGTAGCGCTGCACAAAATAAGCACAAGGGACATTCCTTTCCTACAGTATGATGTGTCTCTTGTGCTTCTGTCTTCTAATTCAATAGAAAACATTCTCCCCCCCACCTCGACCCTGTAATCTTTCAGTGCGGCAGGGGTTAATAGAAATGAGGAGATGTCCTAGGCTCTCATCACGACTGAATATGCCCAGCCTTTCCCCCCAGCTACTTCATTCATAGAAGCTTTACTACAGCTTATTTCTCCTTACTCCTATGTTTCTAATGAAACAGGATCTATGAATGGAGGAGTGGCAGATGATTAATAGACTCACCCCTTCCATTCATAGATCCTATTTCATTCAAAGAAGCTGTAGTAACTGCTTATATGAATGGAGGAGCTGGGCAGAAAGAATATATATATATATATATATATAATGAATATGGCCATAATTGTAGTATTTCAAATATATTTGGGAAGAATATGTTTAAAATCCATTTGAAGTATATTTTTCTTCCATATTGTAAGAATATTCTTCCCAAATATATTGACATATATTTGAAACACTACAATGTTGGCCATATTCAATACATTTCAATATATATATACACTGTATGTTGAAATGCGTTTTTTATTACAAAATATATGAAATATATTTTTTTAAAATTACATTTTCAAATATACTGTATGTCTTTAAAAAAACATTGAATCTACATTTTTGGAATGCAGTTACAAATATATGTAAAAATATATGTTAAAATATTTTGAAATATATTGAATATGGCCAAAATTGTAGTATTTCAAATATAGTATGTCAATATATTTGGGAAGCATATTTTTATATTTCAAATATATTTTTCACCCCCCCCCCCCCCTTGTCTCTGCCCTCCACCTTGTGTCACCAGAAAAGAGGACAGAACTCCTCCTACAGATCCTGTGCCTCTCTGTGCAGCCTCAGCCCCTCCTTATCTCCACTTCATCTCCTCACCTGGCTCAGCAATCAGCAGACTCTGGCAGCTGATTCCACTCATCCTCTGTTCCTTCTTCATTCCCTGAACTTTCTGCTTCCTAGCAGCAACACAGGGGGTGGAGGAGTTTTGACTTCTGATAATGGGGGGGTTCTTGACATCTGATGTAAGGGGGAGTGGGGTGCTCTGGACATCTAGTCTTACAAATACAACTGGCCCTTTGAGGGCAACCATAATGCTTAAGCGGCCCACGATGAACAGTTACAGCTCTATACAGTTACTGACATTGTTCACAAGTTACACATATTGAGGTCTACTTCACCCGGCCTATTAGCAAACACATTTCCAGCATTATCTAGTCATTAGAGCCAACTACAGTGTCCAACCTCTGCGGGCCAATCCACACCACTGTTTCCGCTGCAATTCGTCCATCAAGGGACACTTGTCATTGTTGCCATCTGCTCCAGCGGCCTACAGAGGAATTGACTCTTTGCCAATAAGTGCTTCCGCCTACTCTTTAAACCTCTTGCTTAAAACCTACATCTTATCTTGTGCTTTAAAGGGGCACTGCCCAAGTTAAATGCCATGTAAAGAAATAGTGTCTGTGCTTGCCTAAACCTTTTTTTTTATATAGGGACTTCTACCTGTTTCAACCATGAAGATCTGAATTTTTGTAGTGCACCAACTGGGCTCCAACAAGTGCGCAGAAGGTCTTCCACTGCAGTTAAAGGGACTTTAGCCTTCCTAATTAAAGACTTCTTTCCAGGGGCGGACTGACAACTCATGGGGCCCCCGGGCAATAGGGGATCACGGGGCCCGTGTCTATGCCCAAACTCAAAAAAACCTACGAAAAAAAGGTACCAGGGGCATCTCATGGGGCCCCCTACTGACCCCGGCCCCCCGGGCAGTGCCGAGTTTCCAAATGGTCAGTCCGCCCCTGCATCTTTCCTTATCTCAGATTTGAACCTTGTCATCAGCTTCTGAGGGTCCAAAGTGGGCCAGCCTTATTTGTTAGTAGTTTTCTCCTTTGCTCAATGGGGACAGAAACATCTCAGTGCTGAGGTCCTTGGTTAAATTCTGACTTGCAGGCTGTCCAGAACTGACTGAGATTTTTGCTGTATGTGTTGACCTTCGCTTAAACAGTGATAACTGTTATTATTTAAACGCCTATAATTTTGTGCTGCTTTACTGGGCTCATACTCAACTCTAATATAAACAAAGTATCAGTTCACTTGTGTGTGAGTCCATTTTCTGATAATATTAAGAGAGGATACTCTGGCCAGAAGTGTATGGTGGTGTCAGCAGGGGTTGGCTTCCAGAGTGGGGTCAAGAGTGACAAGGAGCCCAAAAATAACTTAGTGATCCTTAAGGGGGTAGTGCTACAATTGATTTGATAATTCTCCGTGTAGCCAGGTGCTGGCTATATCACTATGGACATTTACAGATGAGACTATTATTAATCCCCTAGTGCCCAGTACTGGGACTGCTACATCACTTCCTGTTTGCAGAGTGGATTCAGGTTTTCTGACTGCAAAGGATCTTAGAACCTGTAGTCCTATAGTTAATACATCCTGTATTCCTGAGTGCTGATTGAATTACAACTACCAGATAGCTGGGGAATGAGAAGGATGCTGGGAAAGCAGATCAATTTTAAAGCAAGAGATCGTCTCTCTCTCTTGGGGTGGTATTCAGAGCTGAACACAGGAGGACTGATGTTCTTCTCCAGAAACAGATTGCTGGCTACTACTGTGGGACTCTGCACATCAGTTCAGCACAGCGGTGACGCCAATTGCCACACTGGGATTGCATCAGCTTCTCTGCATCAGGACTGTCACTGTCCAGTCTTCATACAGATGTCTCTGCTTGACTCGCCATGAGATGAAAACT